AGAGAAAGATAGGAAGGAGAGAGAGGTCAAGGATATGTACCTTGTGGGAAGAAAAGCAAAAGAGAGAGAGGAAGGGGAGGAATTTTTCCTTAGAATGAAGCTTTTATGTCAGGATGCAGGGTGGCATCAAGGGGTGGGATTTCAAGGAGGCGGATCAGAATATTAACATTCCTCCATTTTGATTATTATAAAAAGAGGTGAGTTATGGGAGCAAGTGAGGGAACAAGGGCACTGAATTCTCAAGGCTACTTCAAGCTGACAAGGGGTGAAGTGGGGAGGGGGAACTGGGAGTCACACATGGCAGAAGATCTCAGGAACGCTCCTTGAGGGAGCTGAGGAGGTAGGTTGCAGGAGTGGTGTTCCAGGAGCTTGGGGGGAAATGGCACTCCAAATCAGGAGTATAGAAGCCATGGCATCTGCTATTTCTCTGGAGGTCAGGTGGGAATCTGCAAAATATGCTCAAAAAATGGGTGGGGTCAGAAATGGGCTCTGGAGATTGTTAGTTTTCATCAGACCAGATTTCTTGATGCAGTAGCAAAACTTTTCCCAGGAACCTGCAAGTATCTGTAAGACAGCTGGAACGGATTTACATCATGACAAAAGGGTTAAAAATCCATTTAAGGATTCTTTTTTTTTTTTTTTTAAGATTTATTTATTTATTGTGTATACAGCAAGTGTTCAGCCTGCAGGCCAGAAGAGGGCACCAGATCTCATTGTAGATGGTTGTGAGCCACCATGTGGTTGCTGGGAATTGAACTCAGGACCTCTGGAAGAACAACCAAGTGCTCTTAACCTCTGAGCCATCTCTCCAGCCCCATTTAAGGATTCTTAAGAACTCTTTGTAGTCAATGTTCTATCAGTTTATCAAAGCTGCATTTATCAGTATTAAAACTTTGAACCTCTGGAGTTATATCTGAAACTGGTCTATCCTGTACCATGAAGTCTGTGAATGAGGCATTCCTGTCTGTAATTGGAGAGTATATATATAATCTTGGGATTGGGGCTGCTAAACTGATACCCTAGTCATCAAACATTATCAGATCTGAGAAAGATAAATTTAAGAAGGAGACAGCTTTCCAGCTACCTAGGCAGCAATCCCAAGACTCTTTGTGGTCATTGGCGGGGGTGGGGGGGTGGGGGGGTGGGGGGTGGTACAGAAGCCCCAAAGGCAGCACTTGTTCAGCTGATAGGCCCAGAAGATCTGACAGATTTTATCTGTGGAGTAGAAATTTGGGAAGACTGATACACTTTGACTTTGCAGTATGGGGCAATCGGTCCTCCATTGCTCCACTTATTCACAGTCTGGACAGGATCTCAGCTTTTTGCTGCATGGTGGAAGTTCTTCTGCAGCCATCCATCTACTTGGAGGAGATACAGGATGCTGCCAGGAGCCGACATGTCTTTCTGTCATCAAAAGCTTCTATACTAAATGCCATGTTCTCAGATCTGTACAGGTGTTTGAGGACTGGGGGAACAAAATCTGTTAGATGTATTGATAACTTTGAGAGCATATATATGACTTAAATCTGAATATACAGGTTTCCCAGTTAGTTACAGCTTAATGAAGTTAGCAAGGACTGGGAGGTTCACATTCTTAAGCCTGAATAAACCTTGAGTAAGAAGAGACATTCTTTAAGCTGCTGGCAGTAATATTTGAATCTATTACCATTTTTTAAGGCCCTGTAGCTGTAGTTCTGATCTTTGAGTACAGCCAGATTATAATCCTGAATGACTTATATAGAAATAATTATTTCTTAAGCTGTCTCCTGAGAAGGCAAAGAAGAGTGACAGGGGAAAGATCCCAAGACCGAATGAGAACAGGAGAAAAGGGGCTTGTGAGTCAAGGTGCAGCCCAACTCTGAGAAAAGGACCCTCTGAGAAAAGGAAAAGGACCCTCTTGGTGGACTCTATGCCAGGGTCTCCATCCCTAACCTAGCCCTTCAGCCTGTCCTGGGAACAGGGAGCACAGAATGACATATTCTTCATAGCTGCTTCAAGCTGAAACAGAGCGCAGGTGGTCAGGAGGACTCTGGCGAGTTAAAGATAAGGAGGGAACCCAGGCATGTGGTCATCGGACCTGGCTGGCTGTAGAAGCAGGGAACAAGTGTGTTTGACTGGGCTGGTCCACATCACACAGACAAGAGTCTCTGCTGACATCCGTAGCAAGGAAAGCGCTGCAGGTTGTGGTCCACAACTGCTGCTTCGATGTGTCTGCCAGCCTGCTGAGATATAGACTAGAGACGGGAGTTAAAATTTATGAATTTATTTGGAGCCTTTTGGCCCATGGTCTTAGTAATTGAGAAGAGCAGGAGTTCCAACATCAGGGTGAGAAAAAATACCATCCTTAGAAATAGACAAGTGAGGAAAAAATAAAAGTTATACATAAATTAGTATTATCAATCTGAACTGAAATCCAAATAATGGAAAAGCAGGTAATGAGTAGCCAAAGAAAATTTAAAATCCTGAGCTTGTGACCCAAAGTGTATCAGAGTTGTATTGATGTTAAAATCAGAAATTTAAAATCCTAATATAATGATATCACCTGCATGTGGTTCCCGCTGATGACCTGGAGGGGAGCACATAAGTCTCCGTGCCCCACCCACATGAGTGGCTTTGGAGAAACGAACCGCAGGCCTCAACTGGATCTCTGCCCCACCCAGACAGCTGGAGCCTGAGAGAGGCAGCTGAGGAACTCCAGGTCAAGGCCACAAGACTTTTCCTCAGCCCGTGAAACAATGTGCTGCCCATACTGCCCTTAGTAAAGATGGTGGTGAGGTCATATGACCTGCCTGTTTTGACCTTAGCCAAGATGGTGGCTAGACCACATGGTTGCCCTTATTTAAGATGGTGCCTTGATCATGTGATTACCCCTATCAAATATGGTACTTGACTATGTGTTCTGTGTTCATGTGGGTTTTTTTTTAAATAAACTTAGCAGATAAGGAACAGATAAATTGAAGCTTTTAAAAGTCAGTCAGTATTATTGCTTATTTTTTATTTCAGTCACTCCTGACAATAAAAATTGAAGAAATAAAAAATATCTAAAGACAACAACAACAACAAAAAAGTCAGTCAGGCCAGGTGGTGGTAGCGCATGCCTTTAATCTCAGCACTCAGGCAGAGCCTCTGTGTTTTAAAAAGACATGTTACTTTTATTTTAAAATATACTTGATTTTTAGAGGTCTTAGGTTTGTGATAGTAATATTACATGTCTGTTAGGTATTAATATATGCACATTGTGCTCATCTATTGAAGATAACTTGCATTTTTAATTTTTTTTGTTTTTTTTGTTTTTTTGTTTTTCGAGACAGGGTTTCTCTGTGTAGCTTTGCGCCTTTCCTGGGACTCACTTGGTAGCCCAGGCTGGCCTCGAACTCACAGAGATCCGCCTGGCTCTGCCTCCCGAGTGCTGGGATTAAAGGCGTGCGCCACCACCGCCCAGCCAACTTGCATTTTTAAAACAAAAGAACAAAAGCAAATTACATTCTTACCTATTGAACCACTCTGTTTACCTATAAAATTTCTCATTGTTTCTTATTGCTATGTTTTGTTTTGGTTTTGGTTTTGATTATTTGAGACAGGGTTTCTCTGTAGCCCTGGTTATTCTAGAACTCGCTTTGTAGACCAGGCTGGCTTTGAACCTACAGAGATCCGTCTGCCTTTACCTCCCAAGTGCTGGGATTAAAGGTGTGTGCCACCACTACCCAGGCTATTTTATATTATTTAATGTTAGGATTTTAATTATTTCACAAGCTCTGATACTGTTGGACCACAAAGAAGCAACCAAAGATTTAGTCAGCGCCTGATTTAGGGCTTAGTTTTTGTTTGTTTTTTCTTTCTGTTATTTTTAATTATGTATGGGTATGTACACATAAGTACAGATACCTACAGAAGTGGTGTGAGATCTCCCTGGTATGGGTCCTGGGAATTGAACTCTAGTCCTCTGAAAGACCAGTGGGTGCTCTTAACTGCTGAGTCATCCCTCCAGCCCAGGGCTCAGTTTCTCATAAACTTTACATGTACTGACATTAAGAGAAATTAAAAGATAACCTGAGGGAGTCACTTCTGTACAATGTGTGTTCTGGGTGTTTAATTCGAGTCACCAGGCTCAGTGGCAAGAGCGTTAATAAGCCATCTTGCTGGCCCATAAAGGGAATTTCTTAATGAAATTTTTAACTTTAAAATCTGTACATATAGAATAAATTTTAAGTCTCCTAGTATGTCATAAAAACCAGTGACAAGTGGGATGGACGTTCCTCAGATGTATCTGAGAAAGTTCTAGAATGTAATTTGACTATGTATGCCAATTGTTTTAAAAGAAATTGTCTATACTGTTGTAGTTAATATTTCTAGTGTCCTGTCCTAAAGAAAAATGTGTTTCTACAAGATTTATACATGACAAAGACTCATTGTATTAATTTATGTAATGCTGATAATTTTGACTACTTAGATATTGAATGAAAAGGGACAGATACAGTCCCAATTTTATTGAAATTTTATGCATACATGGACAGTTTTCATTAGTTCATAAAAAGATCGCAAGGAGGTAATTAAAATGTCATTGCTGGTGTTTTATTTGTTGGTGTGGTATTATAGATGTTTAAAATTGGTTTTGTCTCTATTTTCTGTGAGCATGTAAATACAGGACAAAGTGTTTTGTTGGTTGTTTAAAACAAAACAGATTTCTAAAGTTATAGACTTCAAATTAGCTATTTGTATGGGACTTCTAGCATTTGAATTCTCTGCCTGGTGACTTAGCTGTGTTCTCCCTCCTTAGTGTAAAAGTTCATCATTAGGTTGCTACTTCATCTTGTAATCCAGCACAAACTTTGAAAGACTATATTAAATCATAAGCTTTCAATGATGCCTTTGTAAAATTTTATGCTACTAACATTTTAAAAACTAATGCTAATCTCTTAGTGTTTAGACTACTGTGTGTGTGTGTGTGTGTGTGTGTGTGTGTGTGTGTGTGTGTGTGTGTGTGTGTGTTATAGAAACTTATATCTGGAATGTTTAATTTTTAATCAAGACTTCATCGCCTGATTCTTCCAATGAGAATTCCCCGGCAACTCCTCCTGATGAGCAAGGTCAAGGTGATGCCCCTCCACAGATTGAAGATGAGGAACCTGCATTTCCACATACTGACTTGGCAAAGTTAGACGATATGATCAACAGGTCAGTTGTTTTTGTTTCTAGTGTGTATGATGCATAAGAAAACAAGTTTTTCAGCATTATATGTGACAGGTAACACAAAGACGGTGAAGAGGAATCTACTGCCTAATCTCCCCATCATAGTCACTATCAAGTACTTTATAACACATGGGTCTTGTTGGATATAATGAAAAAGAGCGAGAACATTAGTGAAGTTAACTATATGGCCCTAGTTGTTCATTTCCAAAGTAGAACTGTTTGTGTAGTTTGCCTTTTTAAGAGTTGATGAAGCTTCTTTTCAGTGGGCATGTTGGTTCTTGACTAACTTTAATAACTTTAGGGTAGCCCTGAAGCAAACCAGGTCATGAGATGTTTCTCAGAGCATGCCCTTCATGCTGACTCAAGAGAATGACACTTTTAAGATATTCTTCAGGGTAAGGAAAGGATGTAAAGAAACAGAAGAGCATATTAAAAACAAAAAGAAAAACCCCTATCTGAACGTAGTCCTCACTGGGTAGTGTGAGCTCAACAAGGGCCCCTCAGAAAGGGTAGTGGGCACTGGAGCAATGGCTCAGCCATGAAGAGTACTTGCTGCTTTTCCAGAGGACTTTGATTCTGTTGCTGGCACCCACATGGCAGCTCACAGCTGTCGTCTATTACTCCAGACCCAGGGAGTCCAGGCTCTTCTGGCCTCTAAAGGCACCAATCATACATGCAGACAGAGCACTCATACACACAAATTAATTGATTAAAAATGGGAGTATTTTTAAAAGAATAATGAAAATATAGGGATTTTGCCTTTTTGTTGTATTTTTTCTTAATAAAAGTCAAAACTGTTGAATACATGAATGGAGAAATAAAAATCCTTTGCATTAAAAAGAAAACGGAGCCGGGCGGTGGTGGCACACATAAATAATCGCAGCACTTGGGAGGCAGAGGCAGGCAAATCTCTGTGAGTTCAAGGCCAGCCTGGTCTACAGAGTAAGTTCTAGGACAGCCAGAGACCCACACACATAGTGAGACCCTATCTGAAAAAAACACACCAACAAAAATCTGAATTTCTTAGTAATTAGTATGCATTGTTAAGCCCAGAACTATGTTGTGTAACATATAGTAAGTAGATAAAATTTATCTAGCCCCTTCCCCACATATCTCAACCAAAAATTTCTCTTAACATAAATCAGGAGTACATTTTTCCATATTTGTGTTTACAATTATGTATGTATTTTTCTATAAATATAAAATCTTACTATAATTTTATAACTTGTTTTACTTGTTTGAAATATTCTCTCAATTGACTCATTTTAAAGGGAACATTTAAGAGAAATATACATGCTTGTAGTAGCAGCTTGTAATAGTTGCATGCAATGAATTATTGTCAAATCAATGTTAAGGATATTTATAAAATCCTTGATTGTTCTTAACAGCACAGATGACATAACAGAAAGCTGCATTGTTACATTTCAGTTTTGTCTGGTGGTTGGTAAAATATGCAGGTTTAGATACTAGGTTGCATAAAAACAATTCTTTATGAAAGAAAAATGCAAAGGACATTTTTAAATAAATGATGATAGTTATTTGTTTCTAATAGGTTATTAATGAAGTGCTTTTATTAAATAAAGGGGCAAGAGTGGTTGGGAATTTTACCAGCTCTTAGGAGAGAGTTCAGTGGTTGGCTAGAAGGTTGACTCTTCTGGGGAACAATGGGTGAATTAAATGGTGATGATTGAGAAGGCCTATGAAAAGGATAGATGGCCAGATGTTTGGGTCAGCACTGAAACTAGAGAGAACGCTGCATCCTTGTTTAAGGGAGAGACACCTGTGGATTCTGCAGATCCTTTAGAAAAAGTTGATAGATTATAAGGCATAAATAATCAGTCTTGGCCTCCTGAAGCTTTTGTTCTTTGTGAAGAATTTCAAGGCATGCCTTTTCTAATCTGAATTCTGAAAGCCTTTGCCTGTGAAGATTTAATAATAGGCCTCTGTGATGCCTAATTGATACTTTATTATAGTAGTTTTTTTAATATTTTTTAGAAGTCTGCTTGTAGAGACAACAAATGATGCTTAATTGTAAAAAATGATTCAACCAGCCCCACTGTTTTAATATTTAATGTTATTTTAGTTAATACTTAATGTTTTTTGTTTTTTTCTGAGACAGGGTTTCTCTGTGTAGCTTTGGAGCCTATCCTGAAATTCGCTTTGTAGACCAGGCTGGCCTCGAACTCACAGAGATCCACCTGCCTCTACCTTCCGAGTGCTGGGTTTCAAGGCGTGTACCGCCACCGCCCGGCCTACTTAATGTTTTCATAGTGAAAATAACTAATTGTAATTAGTAACTGACTATAGTACCTCTTTTATTTAGTGCATAACCAGTAAGCCTCTTTATTTTGTAAATTCCTAGGCCTCGATGGGTCGTTCCAGTTTTGCCGAAAGGGGAATTAGAAGTGCTTCTAGAAGCTGCTATTGATCTTAGTAAGAAAGGTATGTTTCAGTGTCGTGCTTTTCCAAATGCATGCTACTAGATATATTTTCACTTTACTCCTGAAAACTTTATTTTTCTGTTAAAAGACAAGTGTATATATAGTTAGCTTAAAGATAGAGCTCACATCTGTTTAAAAAGGACAACCCTCAAGATTGCTAGACAGAAAGTGTGTGTGTATTCATATTTCTTTTTTTTAAGGATTTATTTATTTATTATGTATACAGTGTTCTGTCTGCACAGATCCGTGCAGGCCAGAAGAGGGCACCAGATCTCATTTACAGATGGTTGTGAGCCACCATGTGCTTGCTGGGAATTAAACTCAGGACCTTTGGAAGAACAGCCAGTGCTCTTAACCTCTGAGCCATCTCTCCAGCCCCTGAATTCTCTTAGTAATGGTGCTCAGTTTGCTTTTTAAGGCACTGGAATTTGAGGGAGTGGAGTTTCTTGAGTAACCCTGGCTGTGTCCTGGAACTCACTCTGTAGACCAGGCTGGCCTCAAACTCAGAGATCCACCTGCCTCTGCCTCTCATGTGCTGGGATTAAAGATGTGTGCTGCCACCACCTGGCTAAGGCACTGGAAATTAAAAGGAGCAACATTTATTTTCTAAGATAGTCTTTTGTATTATCTTTTTATTACTGTGACAGATAATAAACAACTTACAAACCAAAGCTTTATTGGCTCACAGTTCTTGAGATTTCATAGGGTTACAGTTAGGGTCAGGGGAAAATGTGTGGGTAGAGCAAAGCTGCTCACCTTTTGGTGTCCAGGAAATGAGAAAGATAAGGGATCTCACAAGAGGGCAGACCCCTACTTTTCAGATTTCTCAAAAGATTCTACCTTTTACAAGGGTTTGCCAAGTCTCCCCATATCACCACAGAGTGGAGACCAAACCTTTGGAAGACATGTACCCAAACATAACTGTTCTGGGTGTGTCATAACTAACAAAAAGCGATTGTATTAGTTATTGCCAAATTAACATTTTTATAGTACCTTGCTTGGGTTCATGTCACTCCCTGGCAAGGGGAAATTTTATCTTACATCAGTTATTCCTCCTTTGTTTAAAGAATGTTTGTTATGCCTTACCAATCTTGAAAAGCTATGAAAAAAGTTTAATCAGATTATGATTGTTTTTCACAATTTAAGTGAATTTTGCTAGTTTTATAGTCTAAACATTAACTATGTAGTAAAAATACGGTATTTCAGTTAGTGCCATTGACATTCAGTAGATTTGTATTCCTCTCCCATACTGATTTAGAGCACCATAGTTTATTTTACATGATGCTCCATTTTTAAAGTTTCAATGTCACTCATATTGTACAATCAAAATCAAATATATTTTATATAGATTGAGACGTTAAAGTCATTCTTTGTATTGGTGACACATGGCTCTGTTGTCTTTTTTAAATCAGATGAGATGAAGTAAAGATAAAAAATTGTAGGGCTGAAAAGATGGCGTGGTGATCTGAATTCAACCCCTGGAACTCACTTAAAAGTGGCAGGATCAAACTGACTCCCCAGAAGCTGTCCTCTGACCTCTATGTGCACTCCCTAGAACCCCCTCAATCATGCATGTGTGCACGCACACGTAAATAACGGAACTTTTAAAAAGACAAAAGGAAAAAATAGATTCTTGACTTGGAAGAAGAAAGAGATGATAGTGAAACATGAAACAATTCATCTTACTTGGCCACTTGGAGAACAGTAAAGATAGGAGTGGGTGCTAGGTACATAGTTTGCAAACTAATATTTTAAAAATATTTGTGAATGTAAATTTTAAGGCTTATTTTCAGAACAAAATGCTATGAAATATTTAGAGTCTTCACATGGTACTGACCATCATTTTGGGCTTAAGATATATATAGTGTATTAATTTATAGCGTTATCGGTTAATTTTTTATTTCCTTTTTTTTTTTTTTTTTTTTTTGGTTTTTCGAGACAGGGTTTCTCTGTGTAGCTTTGCGCCTTTCCTGGAACTCACTTGGTAGTCCAGGCTAGCCTCAAACTCACAGAGATCCGCCTGGCTCTGCCTCCCAAGTGCTGGGATTAAAGGCGTGTGCCACCACCGCCCGGCTCCTTTATTTTTTTTTAATTGATGATTAAACCTAAGGTCATTGTACAAGTTAGAGAAGCTACCCTTGCAGTGAGCTATAGCTCCAGCCCTGAGTTATTGTTAATATTACCACATCGAGTGTACTTTTGCATAATTAGAATTTGATTTGGGAGGCCTGAAGAGATAGCTGAGCAGTTAGTTATGAATGTTTGCTGCTCTTGAAGAGAAGGGACCCAGGTTTAGTTCCTAGCACCCATGACTGGTGTCCCACAACAACATATAATAACAGCTCCTGGGAGTCAGACACCCTCTTCTGGCTTCTTATAGTACCTGAATGAAACGTGGTATACACTTAGGCCCCACCCACACATATATAAAGTTTTCTTTAATAATTTTTAAACAAATTACTTTATTTCTGAATCAAGTTTCCTTGCTGATGTGTAGACACTTTGAAATAACAATAGTGTTATGATAATGCTGTGAACTTTTTTCCAGAAGTTCTCTGCAACTGTATTTCCAATTATGTCTTTCATCACACAGTTGAGCATTGTGATATGTTTTTTTTTCTCTCCCCCTTTTTAGGCCTTGATGTTAAAAGCGAAGCATGTCAGCGATTTTTCCGAGATGGGCTAACAATCTCATTCACAAAAATCCTTACAGATGAAGCAGTGAGTGGCTGGAAGTTTGAGATTCATGTGAGTTTTCCATTTGACTTTTAAAAAGCAGATTGTATAGTGGTCCTTTGGATGGGGAGGACAAGTGTGTGTGTATTTGTGTATGATATATTTGGCCTACTGTAGTATAAAAGTGTAACTTTTAAAGTAATTTTATAGTGAATTATTTCTGTTAGAGGCAGCATGGGCATTTAAAACTACCATGAGATTTAGAGTTAAAATTACTGGGTTTAATCTTTCTCCCTGGTTCTCCAGTGCCTTTTGACCTTAGACAGATCACCCCATTTTATTGAAAATCTGATACAGTCAATCGTGAGATGTACTGCTATTTTATATATTGTTAAGGAAGGCAAAACTTGCCCAAGATGGAGAAAATGTAATGCATGTCTGGGGGACTTGAAAGATCAGTGTTGTAGAGGAAATGAGAAATGAACTCACTGCAGAAACGGACAGCAAAGAAACATGTATATTTCAGAGCCATGAGTTACCCTTTAAACAGTTGTTTAGTCTGGATTCAATTTAAAATTGTCATCCCGCTGACCTTGACCTTGATAGCCTCCCTATGCTAATTCCCTGCCGGGTTCCACCCTCCTGAATGCTTAAGGGAAGTTCCTTGTCTGTGTATCCTGCATATTGGGCATTAACAGCTTAGATGCAAGATTGTAAAACACGGGTAGTGAACTTCTGCCCTCCGGGGTTCTCCCATTGTGCTGTAAGCCTGTATTTAAGACCTCCTCCCTCCTTCAATAAATGGCATTCGGCATAAAAAAAAAAAAGCCAAGTTACAACGCAGTAACCAGACTTTATGGGAGAATCCATGACAGCCAGCCAGACCTCCTCCAAGAATATAGAAAGCATTCAACATTATGTAAAACCCTGTAACAATGCAGGATTTTTTCCTTTGTTCTTTGTTGTAGAATATTATTTTAAAGTGTGTTCCTTTTGTTTATATTGCATTTGTTTAACTCTGTGAAGCTGTGATACTGTGTCTATGGTCTAATAAAGAACTGAATGTCCAATAAAAAAAAGAAAGAAAAGAAAATAAATTGTCATCCCTTTTAAGTAGACTATTTAAAGTGATCTTAGGGCCCTAATATCTCCAAACTATGAACAGACACAATGCAAATACTTTAGTACTTGTTATTTGTAGGATGCAATCAGATTTCACTTAGAGAGTGAAAGAAGTTGTATCTGGACTAATAAGATGCTGTAAGTGCTACAAACCTGTTATTTGTTTCACTATGGAAATAGTCATAAAGCAGTTGATATTTTTGTGGTCTGAACATTTTTTCAGTGAGGATGATGGGGTAAAAGTCCCAACATAACGTAATTTCTCAGAAATACAGAGCTTGTGAGTGTATAGTCTTCCATCTGGGGTAACTGATATATTATTTCAATTTTAGAATTGTTGCTTCTAGTGTAAGAATTCCAAAGAGAGAACAAAATGGGAATTTGTATGTTGCCTGAAGAGATAGAACAGAATTTGGCAACTCATAGTACCTATTTCCTTTTTAAGCAGGTAGCTTTTTGAAAGTACACACCATATAAATTATAAAGCAAATTAATTTGGTCATAGTACTAATGAATTAAATAGAATTGAAGTAATCAGTATAAAAATGAGGAGCTCATTTAATTTTAAGATAAGGGTAATTAGGATGACAACTTGTGTTTGAAATTGCAATGTTTTCACATTCTGAATCACCTTTCTCCCATGTGTAACAGAGATGTATTATTAACAATACTCATCGCCTGGTGGAGCTATGTGTGGCTAAGTTGGCCCAAGACTGGTTTCCACTCCTAGAACTTCTTGCCATGGCCTTAAATCCTCATTGCAAATTCCATATCTACAATGGTACACGTCCATGTGAATCGGTGTCCTCAAGTGTTCAGGTGCCTGAAGATGAACTCTTTGCTCGTTCTCCAGACCCTCGATCACCAAAAGTGTGTTGGTTTGTTACTTTCAAAGTTAAATATTAAGATTGTTTTATTCTATCTACCACAGAACTTTAAGTATTAATCTCAATCTCCTTTAACACGGAAAAAGACTAATTACACTCTGAAAGGGATTTTACATCATGGCTTGAATTCTTTCTTTTATACCAAAGCTATGTTTTATTGTATTCTACTACTGTTTAGTTTTTCTGTGTAGTAATAGTTGGGATCTGACAAGCAAATGTACTTTGAAACTTTTAAGTGAAACGATATATAGCACTAGGAGCCCTTTTGCATAGTCATAGTATTTTAGTTCAGGGCTTATGGCTTTTCTTCCCCTCTCTATATAGTTAATCCCTATTACCTTTTACTCAACCTGGAAATAGTAATAATTTGGTTAATATAAAACATCTGTTTGCTCTATAATAATAATAGAGGAGATTGTGACTGATTAGAAACCTCAGATCAATAGGCCATGATTTTTTTTTGTACTTCAAAGTAGGTATATGTTATACATGCTTAAGTAATGCATCACAACAGTACAATGATGAAATTATAAAATAGAAGCAGAATAGTAAAACTTTGAAATTTTACTAAAATACATAGTTGAAAACAAATTTCCTGTAGCAGTGTAAACAGACTGTACTTTAGTTTTTTACTATATACTTTTAAATTTATACTTTTATAGTTTTTATTTCCTTTAGCAAGTGCTAGCAATAATAGTTTCTAAGTTTAGACTTTAGGGAAACTTTTTTTAAAGATTTGTTTTTATTTCATGTGCATGAGTAATTTGCCTGTATGTATGTTTGTACACCATGTGCAGACCTGTGCCCTTTAGAGGCCAGAAGAGGGTACTGGATCCGCTACAAATGGAGTTAGAGTCACCATGAGGGTGCTGGGAATCGAAGCTAATTTGTCATAAAGCAATCAGTGCTTAAAGCTGAGTCATCTATCTAGTCCCTAGGGAAATATTTCAGAGATCTGGGAATTTTCTTTTCCTAACCAGCCAAAAAAAAAAATGAAAGTCATGTGTACAATGTTCGGTTTATTTGGTTAGAGCTTGAAATCACCAGTAATGTGTTAAACTTAGAACTGTTATTTTTCCAGTTCATAGTGTTGCCACTAGATAGATGGCTTATTTTAGCTTGAGTAGGATCCAGTTACCATCAAAGTAAAGATAATTTTCATACTCAAAAGTTCCTTCTAGCTAGACATGGTGATGCACACACCTTCAGTCCCAGTGACAGAGGTAGACTGGCCTCAAGGTTCGAGGCTAGTCTGGTCTACAAAGCGAATTCCAAGACTATGCAGAGAAACCGCGTGCGTGCATGTGTTCTGTCTGTATTTTCCTTTTTTATTTTTCTCAGTGGGTCAATAATCTGCTTAAGAAACTCAAAGGAAAAATAAAACTTTATTCAACATAACTAATACCAAATTTTAGAGGGACATTTATGAAGATACATTTATGTATTTGAAATCTGATTCTTACATAAAAACTGTCAAAAAAAAAAGATAGGTGTTCAAAGCCTTTGAGTTTAGTGTGTGTGTGTTCGTTCGTATGTATTGTAGCCTAGATTATGGTTACCCATATTCTAGGGAGTTGGCTATTAGCTGCTGAAATCAGAGGAATTTTGTGACTTCATTGTTAAATCTTTATAAACTTAAAATAAAATTATCAGCCAGGAGGTAGTGGTTCATGCCTTTAATCTCAGCACTTGGGAAGCAGAGGCAGGAGGATTTCTGAGAGTTTGAGACCAGCCTGGTCTACAGAGTGAGTTCCAGGACAGCCAAGGTTACACAGAGAGATCCTGTCCCGGAAAAAAAAAAAAAGGAAAAAAAAACTTATCAAAGATGTGTTAGTCAGAATTTTCAACTCTGTCCCTAGTTGGATGCAGACATTATGATATAAAACCTAAAGGAAGCGTAAATTTTTTTAAATGTGACTCTCCAAAGGTTGAGTATCCTTTATATATGATGCTTGGAATTAGAAGGGTTTTCGATTTTTTTTCTTCCAGATTTTGGAATATTTGCATAGATCCTCACTAACGGAGTCCCTCGAGTTCGAACATTTGAAATGTGTCATTACTCAGACATTTTTTGTTGTTGTTTTCTCCAACACAGGGTCCGGTCCCTCTGTGTAGCACTGGCTGTCCTGGAACTCACAGAGATCCCCCTACCTCTACCTCCAAAGTGCTGGGATTAAAGGTGTGTGCCACCACCACCTAGCTAAAGAAAGCTTTTAGATTCTGGATTTTTAGATTAGTAGTACTTCACTTGTGGCAAAATTCAGATCATCAAAAATAGCTGATGGGAGTGGATTTTCTCAATTGTAAGTTATCTTATGACACTCCCTTTGAAGTGTCTTGTATTGTTTGTTGACTTTTGAAAAGTTGGAAGTCACTGAGCTTCCGAGTCTGTTTTTGAGCCTTCCTACTTAATCATCACCTAAAAGTTGTGGCCAGGTCTTTATTTCCTCCACTGTTGAACTCATGTGGCCTCCCTCAGCTTTTAGCCAATGATAGATAAAGCTATTGGCAACTCTCTGAGACTATAACTCTCTATGGTGCTATCTTAACTGTATCATACTTCTCTCCCTCCCTAGGATTTTAAAGATAATTAAATAAAATTAATTGAATGTTTAAAATAAGAAAAACCTGATTAGTTAAAGGGGAAAGGGTCTCAGGTAAAATTCATGTATGTTATTCTTTTTGTTGTTTTTTTTTTGGGACAGGATTTCTCTATTATGTAGCTCTGGGCTTAATATGTAGACCAGACTCATAGAGATCTGCCTGCCTGCCTCTCCTTCCTGAGTGCTGGGATTAAAGGTATATGCCACTATGCCCGGCATATATGCTATTCTTTTTAAAAGAAACGTATCCAAAAATAAAAGGAAAACTACCTTTAAAAGAGCATAAACAACCTGGCAGTGGTGGCATATGCCTTTAGTCCCAGCACTTAGGAGGTAGTGTCAGGTGGATCTGTTGAGTTCAAGGCCAGTCTGGTCTAAAGCACAAATTCCAGGACAGCCAGGACTGTTTCGCAAGTACGCCCCAACGACCATCCCCAAAAAGAACATGCACATTCTAGGCTATGGAATCATTTAAATGTTTTTTCTATGTAGAACTGGTTGGATGTTGCCAGTTCAGGGTGTCTAATGTCTCCTCCTAACCTCCACTCACAGGTAGTGCATATACATGCAGACAAAACACTCATAAATAAAATCTTTATTAAAAAAAAAAGAGAGAAAGAATAGAACTAAGTATATCATCTCAGTAGTCTCATTCTAGCTACTAAAGAAATTAAAAAAATACATAACAAACATATTCCTTTTTACAAGTAATCCCAAAAGAGATGTGGTGAGCCAAATAGTTAGGGGGTTTGGGCTAGAGAGATGGCCCAGTGGTTAAAGAGCACTTGTTGCTCTTGTAGAGGATCTGGATTCAGTTCACAGCAGCCACGTGGTGGCTCACAATCCTCCTCAGTTTTGGCTCCAATGGATGCCATGTTCTCTTCTGGCCTCTGGGCACCAGACGTGCACAGGGTGAAATATTTACTGCTAAATACTCATACACATAAAATAAATACTGAGATTTAATGACCTAGAATTGGTCTTCTAAGCCAATTAAAAGGTAGGAAAATATTGAACTTACTGAAATATGATAGTTGACGTCCTAGAGAACTTAAAATTTAGATAGCTCCAATTAGCTTCTTGTATTTCTCTTGGTTTCTTGAGACAGCATTGCCTTGGCTGTCCTGGAACTCACTCTAGACCAGGCTGACCTTGAACTCAGAGATCCGCCTGCCTCTGCCTCCTGAGTGCTGGGATTAAAGGCATATGCCACCATCACCCAGACAACAATAAAATCTTTATTCAGCATTCCCCTTTTTAAAAATATCTGTAGGCATTATTTTTGCCTAGAGTATAATAGAGAAATTGCCTTTCCTTCCCCCTTACTGGCTTTTAAAATACGGCCTTCTAGAGTGTGGTAAGGTGTAACAGGTTGTCTTAAGTATTTAGCTTTCAGATATATTTAATTCTTTTGTAACCTTTTAGTTCATTTCGAGTTTTTCAAATGGTAAAGATGGGAATTGAATGCATTTATATGAGTCAACAAAAGTACCCAGATGTTCTAGTTAGTAATAACACATATTATACGATGGTATAATTTTTTTTTAATTTTTTTTCTTTTTGTTCCTCCTGCAATGTAAGCAGTGTATCAAACCTTCTCAGCCTGTGCTCATGGTAGACAAGTGTTCAATTCCTGTGACATATGGGCCAGTTTTTAATTGACAGTTCACTTTTAGGCTTCAAGATTATTCTATTTACATGGAAATTTTAACTGCTTATAACTACAGTAAGAAATTGACTGAGGGGTGGGCAATGGTGGCACATGCCTTTAATCCCAGCACTCAGGAGACAGAAGCAGGCAGATCTCTGAGTTCCAGGACAGCCAGGGCTGTTACACAGAGAAGCCCTGTCTTGGGGGTGGGGGTATTTACTCAGAATTTTTTTACACTAGATTATTAAATAGCTTTTCCTTGCTATTACTTGAGCCTTTTAACCTCATAAATTATTTTAATATAGGTATTTTTAGGTACTTAGGAAAGCCACATTCTCGTACAGTGTGATTGCTGAGACAGAAACATGGTTTTAATTCTTCACTAGCAATACTGATAGGAGCAGTGTGTTCCTACAATCTAATTTGTGCTTGCTACTTATGCTTCATCATAGACGGATTACTGTGAATGTTTCGAAGTCCTTCATGAATGGTTTAACATCAATTGGTTTTAATGTGTCAGTCAAAATAGTACTTTGATTTTTCTTAAAAGCCAAAAAAGTAAACTTTGATGTTAATTGTATTACAGGGTTGGCTAGTGGATCTCCTCAACAAATTTGGCACTTTAAATGGATTCCAGACATTGCACGATCGTTTTATTAATGGATCAGCATTGAACGTTCAGATAATTGCAGCCCTTATTAAGTAAGTTATCTTTTAAAATGAAATGTTCAGTTTTCTGTTAGTTTCTGAGTTTATTTTGGCTCAATTAAGAAATGGAGGGGGTTGGGGCTTTAGCTCAGTGATAGAGCGCTTGCCTAAAGCGCAAGGCCCTGGGTTCGGTCCTCAGCTCCTGGGGGGCGGGGAATGGAGTAGTGAGGATGTCTCAGTGGTTAGTTAAGTGGATATTCTTTCAGATGTCCTGAGTTCTGTTCCCAGCACCTACAGCAAGTGGCTCACAATTGTCTTTAACACCATCTCCAAGGGATCTGATAGCTCTGGCCTCTGAGGGTACCTGCTCTCACATGCACATATTCCAATCCAAATGCAAATGTGCGCGCGCACACACACACAAAATCTAAAAACAAGTAGTAGTTGAAGTGGAGATTTTTCTTAGTTGTTATTTGGATGTTTTAAAAATACTACATGTACTGTGAGAATTTCCTAAATTGATGAAGAAATTGAGTATTTACAGAAGTTTCCTATCTTATTTCAGACCATTCGGACAGTGCTATGAGTTTCTCACTCTTCACACAGTGAAGAAATACTTTCTTCCAATAATAGAAATGGTTCCACAGTTTTTAGAAAACTTAACTGATGAAGAACTGAAGAAAGAAGCAAAGAATGAAGCCAAAAATGATGCTCTTTCAATGATTATTAAATCTTTGAAGAATTTAGCTTCCCGGGTTCCTGGACAAGAAGAAACTGTAAAGAACTTAGAAATATTTAGGTTAAAAATGATACTTAGGTAAGTTCCTTAATCTTTGGAAGTAATCTTGTACAGGAATTTCTACCATCAATGTAAAACTGAGTTTCTTTTACAGATTATTGCAAATTTCTTCTTTCAATGGAAAGATGAATGCACTGAATGAAGTCAATAAGGTAATTTCTAGTGTGTCATACTATACCCATCGGCATGGAAATCCTGAGGAAGAGGAGTGGCTCACGGCAGAGAGGATGGCTGTGAGGCCTTTCACTTTTTTGGGTGGGGTGGGGTGGTGAAAGCCATAGAGAGATCAGAGAAATAGGGAAAGCTACCAGCCAACTTTACCTCACCAACTCTGCAGCTTCCAACTGCGAGTTACTTCCTGTCTACCCACGTCTATATGCCTTGCTGTTCTGCCCTCTGATTTGCTCTCTCTGCCCAGCTACATCACTTCCTCTTCCTGCCCAGCTCTGTCACTTTCTGTCTGTATGTCTGTCTTTACAGACCTCCTTGGTTAACTAGTGTTGGAATTTAAGGCATGTGCCACCACACCTGGTTGTTTCCAGTGTGGCCTTGAACTCACAGAGATCCTGCCTGCTAAGTGATAGGATTAAGGGTGTGTGCTACCGCTGCCTGACTTCTTTGTTTACTTATAATGGCTTCCTTTTTCCTCTGATCTCCAGGCAAGCTTTATTTATTAAAGCACAAATAAAATATCACCACAACCAATAGGCAGAAAAGTGTTCACAATGAATGAGGAACATACCTGAGACTCTGTAGCATGCTGGGCAGTGAATTCTCCCAGTTGGTACAGTGCACCATTAAGAAGCCTCTCTGTAGCTTCTGGCAACCACAGCTTCCTTCTCACTCATGTGAATTCTCCAAGTAAGTGTGGGTGGTTAGCAGGGGCACAGCAGCATGCTTTACTCAGGAGACATCTCTCCCCTAGCTGCTATGTGGCTACAACCATTGGGGCTGGATGTATTTTCCCTGCTTCTCACAATCTGGTGAGTTGGATGCGCACCATATTTACCTACTTAAAAATTTCTGGAAAAATCTGGTGCTGGCACCTCTGCCCTACCTTCATCTTCTGGCCACACCTTGCTGAAGACAACTCCATTGCTTCCTCTTGCCTTGGTTTCCCACTTCCTTTATTGTCCTACCCAATCCAATCAGCCCATCAGCACTGCAGTCACCAAACAGCATGTGCTGAGTAGTTTGTAAACAGTGGGAATGTGTTTCTTGCCAAGTCTGGAAGCCCAAGAACAGAGTGGCAGCGTGATAGAATTCTAGTGATGACTGAACGCTTTCATGGATGGCCATCTTTGTGCTCTAACGTCACATGGCAGAAGTGGGGATTCCTCTGGCTGCTCTCAGCAGACTCATCTTCCTCATAAGGATTTTATCCATACAACTCCATCACCTCTCAAAAATCTCAACTTCTGATACCGTTATCCTGGAAATTGGAATGTCCACCAAGGAATCTGGGGCAGTAAACATTCACATACACACACTACTGTAGCACGAATCTTAACAGGTCTTATTAATAAAAACAAACCCAGGCCTGGTATTTGGGTGAATGCTGAAAGATCAGAGAAGCAGAACAAGCTACAGCTACCTCACCTCGCCAGTTCCTCAGCTGATCCTGTTTCCTCAGACTGGAAGCCTCTGTGTCCCATCCGAATGGGTCTCAGCTGAACTGTTTCTCGAAAGCCTAAAAGCTTAACCAGGTCAAAAACTTCACTTTTTTTTTTAAACTAAATAAATACTTAAACTTGGAATGGCTGTCACTTAAATTAATAATGTTAGCATTCTACATTAAAGTTGAAATTTGAATGTTGTTCTGATTAAATTTACAAGATTGTTAATCTCAAACTTTCTAAAGTAGCATAATTATTTGGTAGCTGATTATGTGTTTGATAAATTTATTGTTGAATGTCATCATTAGTTATTTGTGAGTTTTGCTATAAACTGGGAAATTGATTAAAAGGGAATACAGGAGATAATATTTGAACATGATTGAAGAAAGGGGCCTGTTCATGTGACCAATTCCAGTTAATGGCTTAAATCATGAAATACACAGATGGGTGTGGTGGTGCACAACTGAAATCTCAACACTGGAGAGGCAGAGGCAGGAAGATTTGCTACAACCTTGAGGCTAGCTAGGGCTACATATTGAGACTGTCTTTAAAAAAAAAAAAAAATATATATATATATATATATATATATATATATATATATATATATATGTAGCAGGGTGGTGGAGGCGCAGGCTTTTAATCCCAGCATTCAGGAGGCAGAGGCAGGAGGATCTCTGTGAGTTTCAGGGCAGCCTGGGCTACAGAGTGAATTCCAGGACAGGCTCCAAAGCTACACAGAGAAACCTTGTCTTGAAAAACCTATATATATATGTATATATGTGTGTGTATATATGTGTGTGTGTATGTGTGCATGTATATGTATGTATGTATGTATGTATGTATGTATGTATGTATGTATATAATAGAATAAGAGCTAAGAGCTACATAAATTAGTTTTTCTTGATTTTGAGATTTTTTTTTTTTTTTTTGGTTTTTCGAGACAGGGTTTCTCTGTGTAGCTTTGCGCCTTTCCTGGAACTCACTTGGTAGCCCAGGCTGGCCTCGAACTCACAGAGATCCGCCTGGCTCTGCCTCCCGAGTGCTGGGATTAAAGGCGTGCGCCACCACCGCCCGGCCGAGAATTTGTTTTTAAAGTGCTTAAGTTTATATCATTTTTGCATTAAATACTTAGAAAACTATTTCCCATATATTTTGCATATTGCAACTTTAATGAATAACTTACCATTTAAATGATAAAACCCATGTTATTTGAGTACATATGTGAGTCATGAGACATCTGTAGCAAACCACTATCTTTACCTCTAAGGATCTTTTTTGTTAATGGGGAAATAATTAAAATGTGATTTTAAAAAAGTATGGAAAGGATAGAGATATAATTCAGTGAGGCCTTAGGTTCAGTCAACAAGAAGGGAAATATGGATTTTTAGGATATTTCGACCTGTCCCTGGTTGAGGAGGGCAGGTGATAGATGTCTAATTTTGTGTATGTCATGTGCCTGTTTGCATTAGGAATGTTGTTGGTCCTTAAGCTGTGTGACTCATCCTAGAACATACAGAAAATGGTGTTAAATGTCTAAAACTTTTTGTAGTAGTTTGCCATTTGATATATATTTGTTATATTTTAGGGGGAAAATCCCTTAACAAGTTTGGATTTTTTTTTTTTTTTAAAGATTTATTTATTTATTATTGTGTGCCAGATCTCATTACAGATGGTTGTGAGCCACCATGTGGTTGCTGGGAATTGAACTCAGGACCTCTGGAAGAGCAGCCAGTGCTCTTAACCGCTGAGCCATCTCTCCAGCCCAAGTTTGGATTTTTAAAACTTGTCCGTTACTAGCTAAAAACTAATATTTTGGGTACATTTTGGGCCCACCTTCCTTTATTTTCAGAAAGTTGAATACTGTAGACTCATAACTTTGTGGATTGTCTTTTTTTTTAATCGTGAGTCCTACTTTGTTGCTCTTGAAGTAAAACAAGAGGTTGAAGGTCAACAACAGTCAGGCTACAGCCTAGACTAGCACAGTATTATGGGAAGCATGCAGACTGGATTCAGATTCCAGTGCCAAACTGGAATCTGCAAACCTGTTTACTATGCTCACACAGGGATTGTTGGAGAGATGCAAGAGCTGGGTGGCTAAGCAACAGGTAGGGTCTGGTCCATGGCAATCAACTAATAAATAATTCTTTAAAAGTATCATTTGACCTAAGATTAAAACCATTCTGGGGCAGAATTAGAATTAGTGTAAAGAACCTAAAGATACCAAAGTTGGCCTTATGTTCATTCTACCTAACCTTAGTGTCTCATTGCATTGAAATGATATTTTTGTGAGTTAAATGCTGTAATTTAGAATCTTACGGAGAGAGGCCACAGAAAGAGACCATGGAGACAAGCCACAGAGACAGGCCATGGAGACCATGGAGAGGCCATAACTGAGGCAGGAACTGAAGCAGAGACCATGGAGGAACACTGCTTACTGGCTTGCTCTTCATAGTGTGCTAACTTGCTGGCCTAGACCACCCAGACCCACATACACAGTAGGCTGGGCCCTTGCACATCAACCTTTAATCAAGAAAATGCCCCCACAGACCTGCCTACAGGCCAATTTGATGGAGACAATTCTTCAGTGAGAGTCTCTCTTCTCAGATGCCTCCAAAAAGTAACCAGCATAGTGACCTGAGACTAACCATGGAGAGCTCGGCCTGCCTTAGACCATTGAAAACATGACTTAAGGTAGTTCCATGGCCGGCCAGGCAGTTTCCGGACAGGGCAGGAACCTCCAACCTCCAGTTCCAGGTGTCCGTGGCTGCACTGAGGTATGTATGTGTTAAAAAGTGTCACCTTGGCATTAACTGCTTAGATGCAAGATTGTAAAACATGGGTAGTGAACTTCTGCCCTCCGGGGTTCTCCCATTGTGCTGTAAGCCTGTATTTAAGACCTCCTCCCTCCTTCAATAAATGGCATTCGGCATTAAAAAAAAAAAATTAAAAAAAAAAAGTGGCCGGGCGGTGGTGGCGCACGCCTTTAATCCCAGCACTCGGGAGGCAGAGCCAGGCGGATCTCTGTGAGTTCGAGGCCAGCCTGGACTACCAAGTGAGTCCCAGGAAAGGCGCAAAGCTACACAGAGAAACCCTGTCTCGAAAAACCAAAAAAAAAAAAAAAAAAAAAAGTGTCACCTTGGCCAGGCGGTCGTGGCGCACACCTTTAATCCCAGCACTCAGGAGGCAGAGGCAGGCAGATCTCTGTGAGTTCGAGGCCAGCCTGGTCTACAGAGCGAGTTCCAGGACAGGCTCCAAAGCTACACAGAGAAACCCTGTCTCGAAAAACAAAACAAAAGTATCCTCTTGAATGGTGACACCTTGCCCTGCCTTATCTAATCTTATCATGGGCCGGCTCAGCTTGTTCACTGTGCAAATCCCAGGCCTGCCTGAAGGATGACGATGGTGTTCTGCTTGAAAGACAAGACCCTTTCTCATCGGGATCTCAGAGAAAGACTGTTTGCCTGAATTACAAACTCTCCCTCACCTCTCAGGGGTGGGGAAAAAACTCTTAGTGGCCAGATCAGATCATCCTGGGACATCTCTGCATTCTTCCTGCACAATGATGTGGTCGATGTGGAGTCTAAGAAGGGCATCCTCTGCCCGCCCCTCCCAGGTGCCTGTGGGTTTCCATCACCGCTGACTGTAAATGCCACACAGTGCACTTACAAACT